AGAACCTCCCTTTGTTATGTTTGCTGCAAGTTTTTCATTCACTGTGATTGCAGTAATGGAGTACTGTACTAACACCACACATTCTCCAATTATCTAGTCACTCTGACTAAAGAGAAGCCGGAACCATTTGCACGAAAGCTTGTGAAATGAGGAGAAGGAATCTCCTGTTTTATCCATTCAAAATCTAGGAAAAATGAGGGAGAAGGAACATAACAACCTGCACCAGGAATTTTACCTCTTGGTTTAACAGCTATAGCCAGATACCCAAGAGCATAGCTAAAGCTGGAGATCTAGGACACGATCTATAGGCTGATACATTTGTATCAAATGCCCTGCTACTTAATGGGCTTAATGAATAAAGCTTCTTATAGCACAACATATGCCTTAAATTTGTATTTGGTAACATTGTTTCAACTTCCTCAAGGGTGGTCATTAGTCGGACTTCATCTCTACACAGTTGGGAAATAATATTGTGCCTCTCTTCTAATTATCTACAAGGAAGATGACCCTTTTCTTCATTTAGTCCAACAATCAGGAATAGGTTATGTGCCTAATTTATTAACTGATCAGGTTCACTGATTACTGAGATGGTGGGATGGCATTGTGTAATTTTGCAACTTCAGATAAAATGCCATTCAGGAGGGCACTGAATCTCAGCCTTGTGTGCTGCTGACTCCACTCCAAGTACACTCATGGACTTGAACCTATTTTCCTCAGGTGCCTTGGCTATGCTGGTATTTATTTATTTGTTTATTTAATTTATATGCCACACCATCCAAAGTGACTCGGGGCAGTTAGCTGGGTTGCTGGTGGAGCAGAAACATTTGTGATCCTCCCAAAGTGCTTCTTTGATGTCCTTTCTGGATGAGACCACTTGCTCCTGAAATCCTAGGTAATCTTTCCTTCAGAGGTTTGATAAAGTAATTCACCAGTCTGCTTTTAGGTAAAATAGGCTTCACAAGGAACTGGGCACTGTACCAATAGCTTAAACCTTAAGACTTTCATGGGACCTTTTTGGAACAATACTGCCACCTATAGGGCATGCGCATACGAATCTATTCAAAATACGGTAATAGGTCAAAGTAGGCAATACTGTACTGTACATTTAGTAGCACTTTCATGACTAAGCAACTTTATTAGGACATTTGTTTTTGTAGCTCACTTTATCAAAGGCATATAGCGGGTCAAAGCAGGGTTCCTGGAGAATCTAAGGAAATCAGCCCCAATCTGGCAGGGGAGGGATTATAGCTCCAACAAGTTCATAATAACTTAATTCATGGCATTAATGAAGTAATCAGAAAAAATGAGTAGCCATTTCTCATTGCATAATGCTGTCCATTCTTCTGGTTTATCATTCTTAATATAAATGTATCTCTATTTCATTTGTATTATAGTTATTGAACCTCACCCAGTCCAGTATGGTGTCACAGTAACCTATATGAGAGCTGGTGTGATATAGTAGTTGAGGTGCTGGACATGGTTTTCTATTGTTCGCCATCTTTTCAGGGATTCGGAGAATATTATTGCCCTCCCCCCTCAATTTTTTTTCTTTTAAATTTTCTCTCATGGGTCTCAGTTTCTAGTGGTTCCCTTCTCTGAAGCTGTTCCCAATTTTTACTGAAACCTGCTAAAAGTACAGAACCCGGAAAAGGCCACAATATTTGAGATGGGGTCTGACCAACATAGAATAAAGCGAACTTTCTAGTATAATTATTTTGTCATAGCTTTAAATTGCATTTTAATTTTTGGCATTTACATAACAATACTGGTTCATTTTCAGATTGCACTCAACTGCTATACCACATTTCCCCCCACAAGCATTAAGTCTCAAGCCAGGTATCCCCTATCCAATACCCAAATTTGTTTTTTAAGTGAAACAGTTGCATTTATTTCATCTATATTTTAATTCCAATAATTTCAGTCCATTTCTCTACCCTACAATTTTGAATTTTATCTTTATTATTTAGCCTTAGCTATTCTACTCAGTGTTCTATCAGCAGCAAATCTGATAAACATTCTCTTCAGCACCTATCTAAGTCATTAATAAAAATATTGAATAATACAAAAACAAGGGATAAACCCTTGATTCCTCTCTCCAATGAGGCAGAGTGATGCGCAACCATTGAGCACTCAATAAGAATTTTGTCACCTCTATATCCACTTAACTGTTACACCACCAAATTCACACTTAATTAGCTTGATAATCAAAATATCATGAGCTACTTTGTCATACTTATATTATTTACTAGATATACTGTATGCTTTCTTGAAATTTAGATATACTATACTACTCAAATATAATACTTCAAGAGAAAGATAGATGTATGTATGTATGTATGTATGCATGTATGTATGTATCAAACTTCTAAACCACCAATCTGCCTCATAGAGGTTCCTCTAATTTGGACTGATCACCCCACTTCAAATCAGAGTGACCAAGGGATGTTGTAATAATTCTAAATTCAGACTTTCCATAAGTGAGGGCAACTGGTTTCCAGCATATACATCTTGCTAGAAGAAAAAAATTGTCATCAATTTACCCTTACGTGTTCAAGTAGCACTTCTAACCTTGTCCTTTATAGGAGGCACTAGAACCATGTAAGAGAAGAGAAAGTGATGAAAATTGACATCCTGCTTCTTATAAAAAGAGTTGAAGTTGTCAAAAAATGCAACAAGTTAGATCAATTTGGGAAAGTTGCAGGACTTAAAATTAATAGGGAAAAAATGAAATTAATAACTAAAAATTTAACAGAAAACAAAAACTAAAATTGGAAAGGATAATGGGATTACAAATAGTGAAAAAAGTTAAATACTTAGGAATTTGGTTGACGGCTCAATGCAAAACGCTAATGGAAAATAATTATAATAAATTATTACAGCAAGTCAAAAAAGATTTAGAGATATGGGTTAAATTGCAAATCTCCTTATTAGGGAGGATTGCCACTATAAAAATGAACATTCTGCCCAAATTTATTTACTTATTCCAAACAATACCAATAAAAATACACAAAAATTACTTTGTGGAACTTAACAAGATAATCACCAAATTTATTTGGCAAGGGAAAAAACCGAGGATAAACCTAAAGGCAATGCAAGATATGAAGAGCAGGGGACATATGGCACTCCCAAATTGGGAATTATACTATAGTGCAGCCTCCTTACTTTGATTGAAAGAATGGGTAAATTTGTCGAATAAAAGAATCTTATTTCTAGAAGGCCATGACTTAGAGGGGATGGCACACATTTTTCTGGGACACTGGAAAAATTAAGCAGAAGTATTTCCACAGACATATAATTAGAGATTCTTTATTGGCTAATTGGAACAAAATAAATTAAAACATTATCTAAAAATCCCAATCTGGATCTCAACGATGGAGGCGATGATACATCCAAATAATCTAGATCTTAATAAAATGATAAAATACAAAGACTTTCTTGATGCGCAAGGAACTTTAAAATCATGGCAAGATCTCCAAGAACAAAGGCTACAAGTAGACCAGTGGACTTACCTGCAAATTCAAAATAGATATAGCCAGGACAAGAAAATTTTTGGAATTTATGCTAAGCTACAACAATTAGATAAAATCCTATTAGGCCCAGATAAAAAAAAATAACAAAATTTTATAATTATTTATTAGAGATAGAATTAGAAGAGGAAGTAGTCAAAGGCAACATGATAGCTTGGAGTAGAAATATAGGACATAGTATTACATTATTAGAATGGGAAAAGGTCTGGACAAGGAATAATAAAATTACAAAATCAGCAACATATAAAGAAAATGCTTATAAAATGTTTTATAGATGGAATCTCTCGCCCTCGAGAATAGCGAAAATGTCTCCTAACATGAATCCGAATTGCTGGAAATGTAAAAAGAAACATGGAACATTCTTTCACATGTGGTGGTCCTGCACTGAAGCCCAAAGATACTGGCATAGAATAAAAAAAATGATCAGAGGAAATAACGGTGGAGCAAATTGAATTAAAACCAGAATTCTTCTTATTGGGGATATTTAATAGACTGGATAGATTGGATGAGAAGCAAAACGCCTTCAAAAGAAAAACAACAACAACAACCAAGTCCAGTTGCCTCCTGAAAAAGCACATTTGGGACAACCATGACTGAGAATCTCTACAGGCTATTGGCGATGACCGCACCATCAGAAGACGTGAAAGACCAGGTTAGACACAGACTATCAGGGTGAAAATGTGCCTAACGTGGCCACAAGGAATGGAAAGAACTTGATGGCATATAATCAATCATTCATTTAGGAATAAATGACCGCTGCTTTAGCATTAAACAAAATATGAACGCTCTCAAATATTAATAACAATTCCGGCATGAATACCTTGAAACCGTGCCTGGAACAAGCGCGCATGCGCATCTCTCCCTCGCCCCCCCCCCATCCATTTCCTCCCCCTTTCTCAGCCCCACCTCCCCGTGCCTACTTGAAATCCCATTTGACTCGCGACAAAGAGACAGGAAAATGACGCAGGCAAAATCTGACGAGGCACTAGATCTAGAAAATTTAGAACTACATAATTTATTACAAGTGTTCACAAACACTTCCAGGTCCTGTTCCCCGTTATTTTTTTATCGGCGCAAATCGGAGCCATACATCGTCATTCCCCGGCTCGTCTTTTTGTTTCGGTATAAGAAAACAGCTTTGACACCGTTTTTGTTTTCTTCAATTTCTAACTCTATGCACGTTTTACTGCACCGAGGACCCCCATATTTTTGCCTACACCCTTGCCTGTTCCTTACACCGAAGGGTCTCTATTCAGTGGGGTCCACATATACACACACCGCCGGTGCTGGCTGCCGAAATAAGAAACTATAACAGGAAACTGTTCGCGGTTTGTTCTTATCAGGAATGCCCGCATTTCGGGACTCTTCGAATCCGGCGATAGGGTCAGGCGGCTGCGAGAGACGACAGGGGAAGACAGAGAGGGCGCGCCGGGGTCCTTCGCGATGTCGGAACAGGAAGTGGAGGAGAGAAGGGGCGTGGCCGCGTCGAGGGCAGGGACTGCTGCGAAGTGAGTCGCGTCCTGAGGTGGGACGGCTGCCGAACCGGACCGCGCCAGGTTGACCCCCCCCCCCACTCCTGCCGCCTCGGGGTGTAGCCGTTAACGTTCGTGTTGCTGCTGCCGCCGCCGCCGCCAACGTTGTCATGCCTCTCTTCGCCGCCAACCCCTTCGAGCAGGATGTGGGTGAGTGGAACGGGATTTTTCTGCCTGGCAGAAGAACAGCAGCAGCAGCCGCCGCATTAAAGGCTCCGGGCACGGCCTCGGGCCGGTTCTCCCCCCTCCCCCCTCCCCCCTCCCCCCCTCCCGGGAGATCAGCTCTGTCGGCGTAGCCAAGCCTCGCTCGCCCCATTTCCCTCCGCCGAAGACGGGCGCGGGATGGGGAGGGGGGGGTCTGCTTCTCAGTCCCGTCCCAAGACTGTCCTCTCGACAAGGAGGCCGGTCGTCCTGTGAGGATCTGAGGTTGAGGCCACCTTTGCGGGAGACGAAGTGGAGCAAGAGGCCCCCGATACCTGGAGGGAATAATAGGGGGTTGTTTCCCCTCCTCTTCTTTTCCTTAAGAGCCTCCAGTGATTTTGCAAAATACTCTCCTCTGGCTGGGCAAACCTCATTCTCGTCCTCTTCGCCAGGTCAAACCTGAGAGCAAACGATTTGTCCGAGATTAAATTTAAGGGTTTAATTATAATCAGGTCTATTGTTTAAAAGGCAATCGGCTTGGGGTGGGGTGGGGGAATCCACAGGCCCACCCAATCTGTATTATTCACAGTCATATTGCCAGAACTATGGACACTTTTTAAAGTGAGGGGAAGGAAAATTCAGAAACTAAAGCCAAGTGATTTAATATCAAAAGAAGTCAACTTTTGGTTGTGTGTTTGTGTGTGTATACATATATACATATACATATACATACATATACATATACATACACATACACATACACACATACATACACACACACACACATTATATATATATATATATATATATATATATATATAAATATATATATATATATATATATATATATATATATATATATATATATACACACACACACACACACATACACACATACACACATACACACACACAGAACTAAGTACAGTGAGCTTTTTTTAATGTTAATAGAGAAGGAATGGCTGCATTTCATTAAATGATGGTTTCATAGAAAGGAATTTAATTTACATTCCCAACAACTTAACACCCTTTGGTGATTTTTTTTGGTCAGCACAGGTTTATAAGGCAGGAAATGGTCTTTAAAATATAACCATACAACTGGAATTAGGAGAGGTGGCCAGTTATGTTGACGATTCAAAGACCAGTTTTGTTTGGTAGGAATAGAAGTTAAGTTCTTAAAGGGTCTTAATTGATTGCTGTCTTGATTTCACTATATAGTGAAATCTATATAGAGCTGTTGCTTGGTTAAACCTCAAAAACAAAGATCTTTCTTCCAAAACCTAATGATACAAGATTTCCAGGTACTGAAGTTTAACTTCTTAGATTTGTTTACCCTCTTTGCTGTTTTATACCTTTATTTCAGCTTCTCTTGCTTAGTTGAATTCATGAGAACTGGATCTAAAAGTGAAATAATTCATGACTTTTCAAATTATTTAAAGCTGTGTATTACTGAGGGGGGATTAGTAAGAACAGCAGTAGAGATGACAAGACACTTTTCTTATTTGCAATAGTACAGCTGTAAGTCATCTGCATGTTGCAGGATGACATTTCTGATGGGTGAGGGAAATATCCTGTTAAAACTCAGTTGGGTTTACAATATTTTATATTTATATGTATATAAGTATATAAGGCTTAATAAATTATGTGCTTGAAGATTTGAGTCTCATTTGTACTGTACATTATTGTCATGAATTTTTCAAGAAATATATTTTTTATCTCTAAAAATACTTGATCATTTTTTAAAAAATGTCATTAAAACAATTAAAGCTTTTAAAAATTGTACAAGAATGTTCAGAAAAATCAACACAAAATACTTTCAAAAATTAAAAGTCATCTTTGAGTTATCCAAAAAAGACATAACCAAGAAAACATTTTTCTTTAGAAGATACAGTAGATTGATATTTTAGTATTACAGCTGAGAAAGTTGACTTGCCAGTGTTTGCCTCTGGGGTGAATGTTCCTCATGGGAAAAGAACAGAGACACATAACTGACATATAATATTAAGTTGTAATGTGGCCTTTGGTTTAGCCTCACTGTGAAAGCCCCCAAGAAGGAGCTATTATTACAAATTACAGTGGCTGAATTTGCAAATATATTTGCATATATTTTTACCCTGCAAGAAGCCTTAAAATAATGTTTAGGTTCCTCCATTAAAAATGCATTAAAAAAATCACATACACACACATACACAAAAGCTGCACAATGAAATTCATTTCTGCCCTATCCATGTTTTTCCACAAGTAGCAAGGCGATACTGAATCCTGGCATGTAAAAAATCCCATCAGTGTGGATGCTAGCCTCGCGCTGTGTATAACATTAAAAAAATGATTAGATTTTTCAATCACAATCTCTCATGGAACCACTAGCGACCTCTTGCGGAATTGTAGTTGAGAAAAACTGGCTTAGAGCCTAGAATATTGAAGATTATTCTTCAATGTGTGCAGATGTTAGATTGTATAAGCATTCAAAAGAGATTTTAAATTGAGTAGCTGGGAAATTAGCTGCAATTTAATAAAAATTTACGGGCTTTATATTAAATTTCTGTCACAAGCAATTATGTTTTATGTTAGCTGAAGCTTCCGGTAACTTAACACAAGTCCCTACTCAGATTTATACACTATGACTAACCTTTTATTAATGAGAAAACATTTACTATCAGAACCATTTTTTTTCTCATGAGAACTTAAATTCTGAAAATGGTAATGTTTTCTTGATGAAAGTTGCAATCCTGTGCATGCTTCCTCAGATTTTATTGATGTAAATTGTTTAACTGCTGTTTTAATTTATGGTGACAAGATGTTTTTAATTTCAAGATGTACAAATCATATTTTTAAATATTTCATCAAGAGAGAGGATAGAGTCAAATGTTAAGCTTTTTTATATCTATAAATGTTTATAATATATTTAATTCTAGCACAATGCACATTATATATCTTTAGAAGTGTTCTTGCATGTTTTTGTTAAAATAAGTGTTTTAAAAGTAGACATTTTAATCAAAAAATCAAAGATAAAATTTACAAAGGTTCTTATAGAGATCTAGCCCCCTGCAGAAATCTACTATTATAGCATCTTTAGCAAATGACAACCCAGACTGTTTAAATACAGCACAAAGAAGGGTCTACTAAGATCTTCCTGATGTTCACCTCGAATCTTCCTTGTAATTTAAATCCACTATCGCTTGTCTTCCTGAACAGATTTGTAAAGTGCTTCCTAAATATATTTTTCTTAGTTCTTCTGTGTTGTACCCTATTGCCAAGAGGCCCTCATCTTGGAAATGTGTTCCATGATCAAACCATTCCCTATGGTACGATATGCATGCCACCTGTTTGCTTACAGTATTCTTCTCTATTTTCTTGGACCAAGGTGGAGTGAAGAAAATATCACTTGTATCCTCAGCATCATTTTCTTGAAGCTTTACCATACAGTATCTTCAAGATTGTATCATTTATTCCCATATGGATTAGTGATGAGGGATAATGGTTAGTAGACATCAAGTAGTGGGAGCCTTGTATATGTATGCTATTTTTTATATGCCATCCAGTCTTAAGGACTCTACATGGTTAAGAATATGATAAAATTACACCTGTAAAAAAAGAAAAAGAGACAAAAGTCCAAATATACATAAAGTTAAAAAGTAGAATACATAAAATGTCAACAATTGGCATAAAGAAGTAACTATGGTAAAGTTATTGTTATATTTTTAATCTGCTGTCAGTTCTCCTGGATAAACCAGACTTCCATGACTAGATGAGCTAAATCTACTTTATTGTAAGACTACATTAACACAATTTTGCAAATCTGAAAGTACAAAAGTCCCACCCCAGTTTTAATGGCTCCATCCATTAGGTTGGGTTCTTTCTAAGTTTCTTAATCTGACTATTATACCACTGAGAGCTCCTGCCTCTTTTGTCTGATTGTTTCCTGGGCAGCATTTCTTCCACATTCCTCAAGATTATTTATCCATTCCATTACCCTTGTCCTTTATATAGGTCAGCTATATATAGGTCAACTCAAGGCAATGTACATATGTAATACTCTGTGCCTCCTATTTCCCCACAACAACAATATTGTGAGGTGGGTTAGACTGAGAGAGTAACTGGCCCAAAGTCACTCAGCTGGCATTGATGCCCAAGGACGCCTAAAACTCACAGCCTCTTGGTTTCTCAACCACTACCATAACCACTACACCAAACTCAATTAAAGTTCAGAAGTTCTCACAGGAAGATACCCAGGTTGCAAAACATCTGAGACAAATAATTAACTCCTTGCAGACCGATTACCTCTCCCCTCCCCAGCAGTTTCAACATATGTTAAAGAGAAGTAGAAGAAAGCAGAGCCCTTATCCACTTCATAGACTAAGGTTGTCCTTCCATCACATTTGAAACTGGCCCTTCAGGAAGGAAGGCAACTATTGCAAGATAAGGGCTCCCGCAATCGTACTAAAGTCCAGTGACAGATCAAGAAGGACCATGTTGTATTTCCCAATTTCTCAATAGGTTGCGCATTAGTCATGCTTATGGGCAACCTATTGAGAAATTGGAATTTGGGTCTGTAAATCCAAATAATCCCCTTCCTTTAGGTCTCAGTGGAGCTGAGAGCTATTCTCTTTACACTTGCCCCCAGAAAGAGCTGAATTGTAGACAGATCTGAAATGTTCCAGAACAAATAAAACAGAAGTGATATAACAGCCCCCTCAAAGAAAGAAGCATTGTTTATCACTTGACTGCAACTCCCTGCCACCTCATAAGAGGCGTCTACTATTCCTCAAAGCAGGATATGATGGAAGTGACTCTAAAGAAAGCCCTCAGGGGTTCAAAGCCCTTCACAGGTTCAAAATGATCCCAGGTCACAAGACAAAAGCCCCAGTCACTTCTACTGGTACTGTCCTGTTGGATTCAAACACTCTTTCATTACAACTTGAATGTGAATCCCAGAAAGAAGCTCACACTGTATAAAACACCCTGAAGCTTGTAGTAACTCCTCCAATATAAATTGAAAAGCTCTGGAATATATTCTGAAGCTCCAAAGAAAAAGACTTATCTTGGCTAGCGTTTGTTTTTCATACCAAATTCTTCCATTTTCTCAGCCTGGCTTTGTTTGGTTTTCTACAGGCTTCTTGGTGCTATTATCCCTCTATAAGCACTTCCGTATTTGATCAAGAATTCCTCATCTTCCCTGATAAATTGGGGAATGGACAGGTTCACTTCTGCACTTACTCACTTTTCTTCCAGGAAAGCAATCAACTTAGACCTGTTACATGTATAGTTCTTGTCTTCTCCGGGGAGGAAAGCACACATGTCCTCAACAAGTCGTGAGAGCAATTCTCTTTGTTTATGCGTTCCTCAGATAAACAGGGAGGGAGTGGAAAAAAATCTCGTTAAGATTCTCAGTTATATTCCACAAAATAGTCATACAGAACATTTGATGAATTGTCCCTGCCATTGGCTTTTAAGAGGAACCATCCAGTGGACTTTGTCACCAAAGTTTTGTTTGCTTTCCCTATTTGCTCACTTGGTAATTTTGATATTTCTGAAATGGATATCTTCACTTGATCTTTACTAAGGAGTGAATGAAGTTCAGCACATTTGAAGGGCATTGAGTTGGGGAAAGTTGTTTTACAAAATGTGAGAATGGATTGGAGAATGGATAAATTCAGCTTGGCAAGATAAAGCTGATATAGATGAAGTTCAGTGTAAATGGACTTTGATTTTTTTACATGAGCCGCTTTTTTAGTCACCATTATAAAAAGCTCATGTGTTAACTTACTTGTTTCAGTGACTTGCTTGCTTTCAATCTACAAAATGCTACTTAAAATGAGTTGATGTAAATCTTTCTTTGCTGTTATACTTGGCCTGATAAATATATTTTGAGTTTTTTTATGCTAATACACCCCCAAATACAACTCATGTTGATAATATGAATAACTTGCTTTTTCACTTGATAGTGTACTTTATTCACAAAGTGGAAATATTGTGCTTATCTTTAATTTCCTATGTGAGAATGAATGCTGGTATATGTTCATACTTCGATCTGTCGATGCCACATAAATCAACTGTCAGATTGAGAAAAAAAATAAGACAGTTATTAAACATTTGTAGACTTCTAAGAGGTAAAATTTGAACATTTATATTTCTTCAATATGAAGAAAACATATTTTCTTTCAGACTCCAATCTGTTATAGCTTACTATTCATTTGAATGAATAGTAATGTTGGGGTTATTTTTCCACTGCACTGAAGTAAATCTGTCTAATTTTAAACATAGTCAGAATGCAAAACAACCTTGCTTGTAAATTTAGGATTCTAGCAGGATAGTGAAAGTACTTTTTGAGTTAGCAAACATTTCGGACAGAAGATGCTTGTATCCTGCCTGAAAGGCTGTTGATTTTTGTATGTTATTTTTGTCCACAGAAAAGGCTACAAATGAGTGCAACACTGTTGAAGATTGGGCAGTTATTATGGATATTTGTGACAAGGTTGGAAGCACTCCTAATGGGTAAGACCCACCAGCATCTTGAATGTCATTTTGTAAATACTCTGATTAATTTGTGCCTTCTGCCTAGATCTGTCATTTTAAGCTTATATGCATATTTATATATATGCTTACTTACAAACATTCATATACATACCAACACACATACTCCCAGACACAGAGTGATTATGCTATATTATCTTGTTTAAAAGGTTGTGGGGAGAAGTAGATCCACTTTATATCAAATCAAAATGTGTGCCTTAAAACTAGGTCACGTTAGAAGATGTCCAGAACAGAAAGTAGCTTTTGTATGTGTTATGAAGAAGGACAACCAGTCAGTCCTAAGGGGAACATAAATAAAAACAGCAAACTTTTCTGGCAGTCATTAGTTCTATTCTCAGAAACTGGTTGTTATTAATTTCCACTGTTAAGCAGTTATTTTTTTTTTTAAAAAAAAAAGGCTCATGAAATGCTCGAAGTTAGGCTGGACTAAAAAAAGTAAACTATGGATGGTTAAAAGACACCGGCATCTGCTTTTATTTGAATAATAAAAAAGCATTTCAAGTAGTAATTAGCATGCCAGGACTGTTTTGCTTGTAATTGTGTTTGTGTGTTGTTCTATAGGCTATTGTTGTCTAAACTAGACACATGAAACATTTCCAGGTGATTAGGCCCTTGCACATTACCTTTTATATCAACATGTAGGAAGGTGACAGGTTTGCCTCTTGTTGATTGCTGCTATAATGTCTATGTTCATATGGACCCAGTAAAAAAAATAGAACTCAGCCATTTGTGAATCCCTAGGCACATAGAACCTGTTAGTATACTCTGTACACATGCATTCAATCAGTGCTGAGACAGCACGTATGATTCTGCTGCCATTCCCTGCATTACTGTTAGCCTTTTAAGATAGGCTAGTTAAGGAAAGCTGTCCTTCTTGACAGCTACCAGCAGCAGTGTTACTCCTCCCTCCCTCTCCGCCCCTTCTAGAGTGGCAACTTTAATTTTCTTTTTTGCACTATCTTGTTTCCCCAGACTGAGCTCGTATTTTGCTGGCTGCTACACTCCTTCATCACAACCATTTCCATGACACTCTACAGTAGATATTGGAGCCACATCCAATTGTCTTGTTATAGCAGCTGTTGTGTTTTTCAAACTATTGTTTATGCCTTGGTTTATATGTGAATTCAGTCACAGTTCAATTATTGAACAAACTGATGTGGGAACCCTGACCAAATCAGAAACTGAAAAATAGCCTTAATAAACCATGATTCAAGCTGAAGCGTTGAAATACTTAAATAATCGAAAGCTACCTATTTTATCCTGGACATTTTCTCTTAGAGATAGGTCTATTGAACTGACTGTGGCTTGCTTTGCAGGATATGATTGGGTTTTGAGGTTGAAGTATTAGAAGTGGATCTTTTGTGTCACTAATAATAAAATGATGCCCCAAAGCTCTTTCTTCATTGTCTTCTTTCTGGGACTTTTTGTTCTCTTTTAAGTTACTAAAATAAGAGACTGACACAGATATTATTTTATCTAGAGCAAAAGACTGCCTCAAAGCCATTTTAAAGAGAGTAAATCATAAAGTACCCCATGTTGCACTGCAGGCACTAACTGTAAGTATGCACTTAATTTATTCAAGGGTGAAACTTCTCATGTTCTTAATAAAACAATCCTTGTGAACTTTAAAAAAAAATAAACTATTGATATTGATGACTAAAATAATATTTATCTTATTTATTTCTCTGTATTACTGGCCTGTTTTTTTCCTATCCAGCTCTAGTGGAGAGGGATTGAATAGGATTAATATCTTTATCAATTGTTTATATGGGCAGCTTTTTGCAATTTATTGTGAATTGTCTCATTTATTCAATTCTATTTTCATTTTATTAGCTGTTGGGAGCCTGTGTATCAAATTGTGGAAAAATTTTTCACTTAGAAATCTGCTCACGTGACTTTGCCAGTGAAGTGCGTGTCATAATAAACAAGGTGAGGTTTTTAGATGTGTCATATTTATAGAAAATAAATAAAAAAGTGTATTGATTGTTTCACTGCACTTATGTTTTGCATTTCTAATATTAACTTAGAATATAGAAATGAAATAAAGAAACAATATGGTGTTGATATAGAGAAGGTAAAGCTGTACAAAATTATGGTGTTATACTCAGAAGATTTGCTTTAATCATGACTACTACAAAGAACATTTAATTTTTGCAATATCTGAACTGACAGCTTCCGCAGAGGAACAACAGATTGCAAAGAGAGGTTGAATATTCTCCTATGCTGTGTTACAGTTAAAACAGCAGGAACATGTCATAATTGTTTGAACAGTGAATTATGAAAGTGACGCAGATACATCATCCGTGTTTAGGATAGTACTGTCAATGGGGAAAGTCGGATTCCCTTATGAGCCACAAAGTTTATTTAATTGTAGTGATTTACTTAATACCATGGTGAGAAAGGTTGTAAAATCAGGCATGGCTCACTTTACTGCCTTGCTTAGCAATGGAAAAAAAGTCAAAGAACAGCTGTAGATAAAAACAGAACCCAGAGTCACTTAGTGAGTTGGGAAGAGATTGTGGACTGTTTAGAGACAGTATTGTTTTGACAACATTTAGACTGCAGAAGGTCAGCCAAAAAGATAGGGATAAGCAGGGTAATGCGGGGTCTCAAACTGCACCCACTAAGGTTTGTTGGCTGTTTCAAGAATCGTACACAGGTGTTGGAACTAAACAATTGGTTAGATCCAGAGCTACTCACATCACTCCTCGTCCTCAAATATAGCATGCCTTATGGTGTCACTTGGGAGATTGTGGAGTTGCTATGACCTGAAGGGGCTTCCCAGAAACCTGCAGCCTCTCAATTCCTTCCTCTCCAATTAGTTCTTTCTAGAGACTTACTGCTGATAAGTCAGTATGGCCATGTGGGGGATGTGGCTTATATTAACAGCTGAATTGTATTAGCTGTAAAAAAGACTCTGCTAGAGAAATGTCAAGTCATTGTTTGGGTCCAGATTGCTGAAAAGAGGAAGGAGAATTTTTTTTTTTAAAAAAACTATTTGTGCTGAAGCATGAGGTTACCCAGTTCATGCATCTGAACTGAGAACAGGTAGGAACAATCTCTTCCTGGAGCCAACCTGAGATAGACTGGCTATTTCTGGAGCCTAGGAACTGGCTGCCAAGTTGGTGGGCAGTTCCTTTATATAGGCCTACCAAGAGCTTTATTTATTTCTGTATTCATATTTACGTCCTGCCTTTTCTTCAAGAGCTCTGGGCAGCATACATAGGAGCTTCTTCCAATATTTCCCCACAACATTAATTTTATGGGGCAAGTTGGGCAAAAAGAGAGCAAAGGGACCAGATCCATTTTCCTGTGGCTGAGGATGGACTTGAACATGGACCTCTCTAATGCTAGTTCAACTCTTTAATCACTACATTACATTAGCTCTCATTGGTTTTTATATTGTGAAGCTAAGTCTTTTAATCTCTGTGTTAAAATACATGTCATCATACAATGGTCAGCTATCTCTAATATCATTTTTTAAAAAATTTTCTGTTAAACATGTCAGATTGTAGGTTTTCTTTGGACAATCAACTTTTTTGGCAGTTTGTTTTGTCAATTATTTGAAGCTAATTTTGCTTCCGCCTATTGTGCTTTCCTTTTTTAGGCACACCCTAAAGTATGTGACAAATTAAAAGCTTTAATGGTAGAATGGTCAGAAGAATTTCAGAAGGACCCCCAGTTCAGCTTAATATCAGCCACCATTAAATCTCTTAAGGAAGAAGGGGTTGTGTTTCCTACAGCTGGGACACAGGTAAGAGGTTAGAATTCATTTATGCCTACAAAAGTTTGGGCTTTTAGTGCTAACAGGAGAATGACTGAATTTAACTTTTGAATGTGACCTCTATCCACATTCAGTTATCCACATTTTAATGGCATCCACCAATACAATTTTTTCCACAAGCACTTCCCACACAGGTACTACAGAGCTGAGAGATGCTCTGTGGTGCACAGGGCAAATGGGCCTTGGGATGAGTAGACGCTCATAATACATTGTTATTCCTACTATATAATATACACAATATGTATGTAAGATTATTTGCTTCATAAACACTTTTAACATTGATTGGAGTCTTTGCAGAGTTGGATTATACTCTGTGTTGAAGTGAGAATTATTACTATAGAATATTAACCCTGCTTTTGAAAATGTGCAGAAACAGTTTTCAGATCTAAAATGCAGTTGTATCAAATGAAGCACTAAAATGCTTATAATATTTGTGTTGCTTAGACAAGGAAGTGTTCTGTACCAAATCCAAATGTATAAGAGCAGATATACCACAGCTTTAAAAACAAGGACATATGGTTTATCCATATTTGGGTTGTTTGAATGGACCTGGCAAGTATCCACAGCCATTTGCTGTGAGAAAATGACTTAATCTAATAGGCAGCAGTCTTTCTCCAGGACCAGCTCAGCCTGTTACTCGATTTGTTTTTGTTTCATGACCAGCTCAAGGTTGACTCAGCCTTTCATCCTTCTGAGGTTGGTAAAATGAGGATCCAGATTGTTGTGGGCAATATGCTGACGTTTTAAACTGGTCAGAGCGTGCTGTAAAATACTATGGAGTGATAGATAAGTCTTAAGTGCTATTGCTATTATTATTAATAGTCAATATGTGACTTTGGTTCACTCCCAAAAATGATAACTTCTCTAAGCACCTGTTGGGTATGATTCCTATGTTTTCTGACTTTCAACAATTAAAAAATACTTAGCACAAAGTAAGCTAAAATAATAGCAGTATTGTTTTCAAAGTGCAGGCAAATATAGAACTTTTCCCACTTGAAGTAGCATGTTTATATTGCAAGTATATTTACAGAGTCCCTCAGCTGCTGCCAAGAATGGTGCATCATCAGGCAAAAACAAAGAAGAAGAAGATATAGCTAAAGGTAAAACTTTAGTCATCAGTTCTTGAGTGATAACAATATTTTACATGTTTCTAAGTTTGTACTTGGGAACATGCTTGATGGTTAAAATGTGTGACATTTTCAGCTGAATACAAATTCAACTTGAATCTTTGCTATATGGCCAGTAATAGCAAAGGAAAGTTTGAACAATTGTATTTTTTTAAACTTTGTGAAGGAAGCAAGGAAGCTATAAAGGAAACAGATGTATATCTCAGCAAATGCATTTTTAAAATGCTTTTGATCTGCTTGGAATTCTAAGGATGTTTGCCATTTCTTAAAACAATTTTCCAAAAGTATTACCATTTTATATTACAACTTGCCAGTTTCTGATTCTGCTATTTTTAAATATTTTGCACATGTTTGGAGTTATTAGATGCTCATAACCCTAGCTAACAAATAATAAGTATAATTATTTGAGTTGGATTTGATTTCACTTACACAATATAAATTGTATATGGATTTCCTCAAACCCGTTTTTTAAGAATTTTTGGCTTACGCTTTGTGTATTGATTGAGTTTCTTCTTGTTGCCTGGTTTTGAATCTTTTCATCTTTTTGGTTTGTTCACAATTCATAAGCTAGAAACTCTCATCACAGAAAATTTCAGTCATATTGACCCTATTAATTAGAGGCATTAATGCTCTAAGAACTATGTGTGACTTAATCATGCTTTTAATAGCTGTGTGTGACTCTGGTCACAGAATTCACACCAACATGATGACACTTAAATCAGTCAGACTGCCATGGCAATTTTGTTCAAATCCTGCTTTTGGAAGAATGTCCATATATATTTGGATGGGACCATATAATAAACAGGTTCAGTCAATCTCTAAGCAGTTTACAGGATATAGTTAACCTATGCCTTATTTAATAGTTACTATATGAACGTCTGTATTTTTCTACAGTACTTAAAGGTGGTGAATTTGTATATAAAATTATAACTACTTGTTATACTTATATACAAGGCTGCAACCTGTTTTGTCTTCCTCCTCCTAGTTATACTGTAACACTTCCTGCCTCGACAACTTCAATTTTCAATCTATAATAGTGGTGATAACTGTGAAGCATTTTGAGAAATTAGCATCTTTTTTCCCACAGTCAACAGAGCTTGGATGTACTGAGTGGCTAGATTCAGTCATCATGCTAAGTTTAACTGGTTTATTGAGTAAAAGACATGGCTGTATTCACATAGCTTGCTAAACTAAAACTAAGAAAACTGCATGACAGCTTTCTTAGGTTTTTTGGAGCATGTTTACAAGTAGAGTTTTTGGAATGTCCCAATTATTTTCTAATCTCAGCATTGGGATGTACCTCCATTCACAGATCAATTCATCCAGAATTGGCTATATGTACTGATAGTCCTCGAGTTACGACCACAATTGAGTCCAAAATGTATGTTTCTAAGTGAAACATTTGTTAACTTTCCCCCATTTTAGATCTTTCTTGCCACAGTTGTTAAGTGAATCATTACGGTTGTTAAGTTACTAATGTGATTGTTAAGTGAATCTGGCTTCCCCATTGACTTTGCTTGCCAGAAAGTCGATCACATGACCTTGGGGAACTGCAACTGTCATAAATATGAGCCTGTTGCCAAGCATCTGAATTTTGATCACATGACCATGGGGATGCTGCAACAGTCGTGTGAAAAGCAGTCATAAGTCACATTGTCAATGTTGTAACTTTGAACAGTCACTAAATGAACTGTTATAAGTCGAGGACTACTTGTACAAAGTTCTGAATGAGCATCTTTGTATATTTTTGATGCCTGAAGCTAAAATCAAATGAAAAGACACTTGAAACATTTTAGAGAGCTTTGTGCTACATCATGCCGTGCAAGTAATTCACATAATTTTAACTGGCATAAAATGTGCTTCTGTTCTTCAAATTTGTAGCTATTGAATTATCTTTGCAAGAACAGAAGCAGCAGCAGCAAACCGAGACAAAATCTTTATACCCATCTGTAGACGTTCAGCATAGCCATCAAAAGCTCTCAAGAAAAGTGCGAGCCTTGTATGATTTTGAGGCAGTCGAGGATAATGAACTTACCTTTAAGAGTGGCGATATTATTGTTGTTTTGGATGACAGGTATGTTTGTATTTTTATTATTTGTATTCAGATGGGGATTTATTGCAGTTAAATATGTCTTTTAATATGCTACCTGCACTTTGAACAACTGCCTCAGTGATTATTTCCAAACTTTTCTATGAACAAGGTTGATTCAGTTCAATAAACTACAATTTATTTACTATTCAGAAAATTTCCATAGCCATCATTTTCAGTAAAAATGCACTCTCCTTATTTGAGTATAAATTCAGTGCAGATTCTTCAGCACTCAGATGTGGCTTCATTGTTAGTTAGGCTATACCATATAAAATTATTTTGTTAGGCCTTTTTTTCCAGAATAACTTTTACGGAAAAATAGAATAATGATCTTAGAGCCAACCTGATGACAATCAAGTTGATATATATTTGTAAAGTTATTAGAGACCGAAGACATTGCAATTTAATTATTGTTTATGGCTGCTTGGAGAATATTTTGCCAGAGGTTCTGAAAGAACAATTATCAACAGCTTTTCCAATTATATTACTCCACCAGCTCACATTCCCTATTAATTGAACTTTTTGCCTTTGAACTTTTAGAGAGAGGTTACTATCCTGATTTTTAACTTATTTTAACTATTAGCAAATAGAATAGAAAGTATGCTGATCAGTATATCCTTGAGCATTATTTTTATGAAATTTTTATTAAAATGAAAATCCAGCTTAAATTTTAGTCTTTAAACATGATTATTTTTTAATTTGCCTTGTCTGTAAAAAGTTATCAATTTTTTTAAAAGGGTATAGGAACCACTCTTGTTCATGTATAGCTGGTACTGTTTGTGCATTTAAATCATGACCTACACCTTGTAATAAAGATAAAAGGCCCAAGATTAAAAACTATTGTAATTGCTATAACTCTATCCCACTTCCAAAGTCTATTTAGAAAATTATTGCCCTTAATTGTTTTGGATGAATTGGGTCTTTCTGAGCCAGATGAAGTTTCAAAGAGAAAAAAATAGGCATTGCTAAGAGCTGTTTCTCATTAGTTTGTATTTCCTAATGGATAGCTTCTCATCGACATCTTTATAGCCATAACTTTCCCCACCCTTGTGTCCTCTAGATGAATTGGAATTATAACTCTCAGAATCCTTGGAATTACAGTCCCAGAATATATTGAATACATTAAATTGAGAAGATGACATGCATCCTTTTTTTAATCTTGTAAAAATGAAATGACAGCCATTTTGGTGAAGTGGTGAATAGTGACGCACTAGGCTAGAAACCAGTAGACTGTGCATTTTAGTTCCACCTTAAGCACAAAGGCAGCCGGGTGATCGATGATTTTATGCTGGGGGTGGAAGAACAAAAATCTTAACATCAGGTTTTAATTTTCATATGTGTGTTAAAATATCCTTTTTTTTTAAATTGTGCAGTGATGCCAATTGGTGGAAAGGAGAACATCACAGAGGAATAGGATTATTCCCTTCTAACTTTGTGACCCCTAATTTAAATGATGAGCCTGAGACAGGTAAATTTAACAGAAATTTGATTTTCAGAACACTTCAGGTATCATATATGTAATATCATCCCATTCTTGTTCAGGAAACTACTAAAAAACCTGAATGATTTGTCCAAAGCTGCTAAGAATGCTGGATGGTTTTCTGCCTTGTAATGCCCACTCCTGTTCTAATTGTTAACTCACTGTTACTTAATGTTCAATAATCAGAAGGTCTTGCACTTGCTGAGAAGTAATTTGTCTCATGTCTGTTAATGGTGTATTGTTCTGGAGCTGCATATGGAGATGATACAAATTGTATTCATGAAGAAAGTTTATTCTTAAATGTCATGTTCATGATCTAGTGTTTTTACTGTTGCCAGACAAAAGTATTCTAATATCATGAGTCAGACACTGCTATAATCATGATTTGAAGAGTAATTTGCTCTGAATTATGCATTTAGATACAAAGTGCTTTTATATTTTAGAAGAAATATTTTGAAATCACACAAACAGAATTTAAAACTTATTTTCTCTGTGTTTATATATTCTTCACCAGGGATTTTCAGCCATTTGGGTTAATGAAAAATATCCCAAACTACAAAAACATGTATTGAATATCCATGGATTGATTAGGTTATTAAGCCAAACATCTCAAGCATCAGGGTTATTAAACTATGAAATGCCTTCCAGCCTTTATATGATCTTTATCCTGATATTTATTTCAGTCTCTAACTTTACCCTGTGTTGCATAATATATGCCACCCAAAAGTGTTTTTTTGCCTCTGCATCCCGTAGGGTTTCTTGCCACACACTACTTTACAAAGATACCCAAACTAGATTAAAAACATTTAAACAAGTACTGAACATGATCCCTTCTGTATTAGCTGTCTTAACTAAAAAGCTCAATTTCCAAAGTTTGCTCTTCTTGCTGTTTGTTTGTATACAGTAATCTAAGTTGTTAATAATCCGAGTTGTTAGGTCTGTCTTCGAATCTGAACATGGGTTATATTGACAAAAATTGATTGTATGCTGAGAAGCTAGATTTGGAGGAAGACTAACGTTGTCATGGTCTTTACGCAGTGCCTATAGACAAGGATGCTTCTGAAGACACTACTGAAATTACAAAACCTGAGCCAGAGCCAGTGTACATAGATGAGGTATGCCTTGGCTTTCCACCAGCATAATACATTTTAGGCAGCTTTTTCTTTGAAGAAGCTACCATGTCCCCTTGCCACAAAATGAAGTTGGTACTGGGTTTTGAGAATTTGAACTCACAATTTGAATATCTTTCTAAATATATATTTCTCCATCTTCCAGAATAAGATGGATAAGACACTGCAGTTACTTCAGAGCATAGATCCAACAGATCCTAAATCTGATTCTCCTGAACTTCTGGATTTAGAAGGTATCACTACTGCTAAATATGATTTTTTTTTAAATTGTAATTCAGAGCTATTGTCATTTTCATGTTTTTCATTTGAAAGGCAGGTGAAATTCTCTTTTCTTTTTGCATGCTAGGCCGATTATCATTCACCTGATTGCATTCACCTTTTATTTATGAACAATTAACTGATCAGATGTTTGTATTTTACTGTTCATAGATGTCTGTCAACAGATGAGTCCCATGATAGATGAAAAGCTAGAAGAAATTGATAGGTAAGGCAGTTCTGTAATGCTTACAAGTAAAAAAAAATGCAATTTATATTTAAATAGTACAGTGTATGAGCAAAAAATAAGATGGGTCATCAAACAGCTTCAAAAATTCAGATATCCTACCTAGTGTAATAATTGTGAAAACTAAGCCCAAAGGACTAAGTGTAGTATGTCATATGCAAACTGGCATGTGACATATTTAGGAGTTAATAATTTATTTCCAAGAACCTTTCCTGTCTAGGCTGAAGTTTTACTGGGGGTGCTTGATGCTCTCTGAGTTTGGTTGTTTTCTTGCTGATGTTTCATTCATTGCATCATCATGCTAGCACTTGGGTAATGAAATGTCAGCAAGAGAACAGCCAAGCTCAGAGAGTACCGAGAATTCCTCATTTGACACCTGAGCTGCAAATATTCTTCCTTATGATTTTTTTTTTTACTCAAATTAAGCAAAACCAATTGACCAGTGATAACTGAAATTGCTTCATTCACTCGAATAGGAAACATTCAGAATTGTCCGAACTAAATGTGAAAGTGATGGAAGCTTTGGAACTCTACAATAAATTAATGAATGAAGCTCCTATGTATTCTACATACTCAAAGATACAAACGGCACAGTATGCACCCACGGCAGCCAATGTTCCAGTGCAGGTGGGTATCTTATTTTTACTACCACTTTCTAGAAGGATTCCCTTCACATACAGTATAATGGTTGCTGCCGTGCGCACAAGAACAGATCACTGCAATATGAAGGACTTGAATTTCCACAAAGACTTTAAATGTCTACTGCAGAACGTGTCAGCATATGCTTAAACAGATGTAGATCCTACTTCTTAGAATCAATGAGTGTCAAGCAGTGTTGCAATTGCAGCTTTTCCATGAACCTTCAATGCAAAGAATTCTGTTTGTTGAAAGCAGCATTTCATGATATTTGTCAGTTCTGTCTTCTCCAGAACCCTTCAAAACAGTTCTCATAAAAAGAAGGTATTGCAAAACCTTGTATGCAGTGGGGGTTTTGTGAGTCTCAGTTAGGATTTAATTAAACATGTCTCCATCCAAACTTAATAAATGAGTGAACAGAGCTGCTTTTCCAGTATGACTCAGATGGCATATGTAAGACTTGCTGGGATAATGGGCAAAATATTGGGCACTATCCTCCCAAACACTCGATCTCCTTCATAAATGACATCTCCACATTCATATATCAGTGCACTTTGAGTTGCTTTATGGACTTTCAGTGAGACTGTAATTGAGAGTTGTTCCTGTGCTGAGTTAACATATCTCACAATTTGACATGCACCACTTCTCTGAATCTACATCCCCCTTTGATTTATTTAATTTGTGTTTTTCGTAAAAGAATTGCTGGGGGATGGAGTTTGAGGGAAGAAAAGTTAGAAGCGCAATTAAACGAACAAGTGGTTGCGTATTTTAGATGGATTTTACATAATACAGTATGAAAAGAATAGTTACTATGGTAACTGCCACATCAAAGATAGTGCATTCATCTGTTATATTTTCCATGAGCTCTTTGAAATGATTGACAGTATTTAGGATGTGAGGGGAAATAATGAGCATTAGATGAATATCTAATATTCTCTCACTTCAAGGTAATATTGTATTCAGTTGAAGACTAAAGAACAATAAGGGAACATCTACATTTAAAGGAGCAAATATTTTTATAATATTTAATCTCGACTTACACACCGTTTAATCCAAAAAAAAAAAAAACATTTTCTGTAAAAATGCTTTCTATATTACTTCAGTATTTTCTTCTTTCTACATTCATTCATTTAAACAGTTTTAAGACTATGTTTAGAAAAAAATCTCTTAAAGCAGAATATAGCATTTAAAGCCACAGTATATGATATAAATAACATTTTATTAAAACCTTATAAACATAATAAAAACACTCATTGCTAATAAATCAAGCATTTATTTAACTGTTATAAATTCTGGACTGATAAAAGATATTTTTTGCGAAAACAGCCATATAATCTGGACCATATGAGATTATCTTCATTTAGGGTGAAAATATGCTCACATTTTCTTCATAAAATGATAGGCCCAAAGTCCTCTTTTTAGGACTATCGGATTTAGTACATTTTTTAAATGAAGCACTCTAATTTATATAACATTTATGTCATTCTAATACATTTTGGAAAACATACATAATTTTCTTGCCATCCATGTTGTTCTGATAATCCTGTGACATTGGTCTGAGATACAAAAATTGCCCTATGCTTATTTTATAAGCTTTAATAATGTCCTGATGTAAACTTATTACTTCCAGTATAGCAGAAATATAAAGCAAGCTGCTTGAAATCTGTTGTAATGGACAATGGCGTTTCTTCTTGGGCTAAAATCATATTCAATCTTATCTGGCATATTGAAGGTTGCATTAGAAGTGAGCAGAGTTTGAGCAAGAAGAAACTAGCATCACTTAATTTTCTCAACCGAGTTACCCTTTTCATTACTTAATTTCCAAAGTGGGTATGGGTACATGCATGCTACAGCTAGGTAAATCTGATAAGCCCTTGATAAAGATAGTAGCCACAAAACAACCAGAACAAAGCTTCAGTTGTATTAAATAAGAATACAAAAGCTATAGTGACATTAAAATAGTGAAAAGCAGGATGCAGTGATCTGTTTGCAAATTTGCTTCAGGCCACCATAGCTCAGTGGAAAGTAAGAAAAGGTAGGGGTCCTTTACAGTGCACCAACTGTGCCACAAGCATGACCCCTGTCACCCCACCCTCCAGCATCTGTTTTGAGTAATCATTTTCTTAAACCCCTGCAGATGATTCTTGCAAGCTCTGAAGGTTCATGGATTCATTCAGTGATAAAACTATTTCACTTCACTTTCCCCTCTCCCCATCTCTTCCATGTACAAATCAGTTTCAGAAAGTCATCATCTGTCTGTACCTAGCAAGATTTGAAAGATTATTTTGGTAATAAAAAAATAGGCTCCGTCCGCATGATACTGGTGTACTTTTTAGGTTCTTGTATTAATGACTACTGGAAGAGTTACTGCTCCTTCCTTTTTAGAACTATCCTTGTGCTTCAGAAGGTCAGTTCTGTTTCTGTTCCTTTTGCAGTCATATCCCATCCATCCTCACAGTGGGAATTATGTGGTCCATGGTATGCCTCAAAGCTACAATCCAGGAAACGATCAGATTGGTCCACTGAGGTCTTTGCCTCCAACCGTGAATTCCTCAGTATCATCTCAGCCCGCTCCGACCTACATGAGGTAACCCACTAGCAAGTTTTATCTAATCAGCTTTATCCCCACCTCTCCATTATACTTGTGTGGTTTGCTGAGCCTAATGTCTTTATTGTATTTCAGCCCTGGTCTAGATTCTGTGTCAGGTTCTACTTACATGAACCAGAATTCTTGCCTCCCGCCCGCTGGTCCCGTTTCTTATGCCCAGCCGATGGGCATGCCGGTGGATATGCTAGCCTACCAGAACACTGCATCCAGTTTGCCTCAAGGTCTGTGCTATCCAGCAGTTCCCACTCATTCACTTCCACAGCAGCAAACAAATTATCACCAGCAGCCTCTCCTGTGAAAATGCAGAGTTGGAACCTGGGAACCATTTTGGATGTTGCTGACCCGTAATCTTTTAAATTGTCCTTCCATTGATTTAAAAAGATACTTCTGCTGAAGGGAACAGACAACTAAGCAATTTCAAAGTAAATGTTAATTCAGGCTTAACTGTTTTTCTGCATAGCTGTTTAAACTAGGTGAGCTGCGGTTGTGTTTTTTTAAAAAAGCTTTCCAATCCTGACTTCTGTAATATTCTGTGTGTGTCTCCTCGCTATTTATAAAAATGCCACTTCAATTTTTCCCTTGTAAGAGAAGCTTGGAAACAAAGCTGATATATGCAACTCCCCCTGTTTGTTCTTTCGAGACTTTGGGAACATGGTAATTGTTTTTTAATGGAAGCCTTACATTTGAAGTGCTTTCTTTGAAACTCAGTTTGATTAGTTAGTTTGGATTTTGGTTTACACCCTTTTGAGATCATAATCTTAACAAGATTGCCTTTTGAGATTATACAATAGAGTCGTTATGAACCTGAGAGGATAACTTACACACACACACACACACCTCACAACGTCAGAGAAGTTAATATTCTCTATCTGAAGATGGAGAATTTAAAGAGTGCATTTGTAACTTCATAGATTTCCTAACACAAATGGACCTGATCAAATCTGGATCAGTCTTTTCTCTCTGTTCTCATTCCCTGGCATTACTGAATGTTTACCTATATGAAGGAGAATCTGATAATTATGCTGTACTGTAGTCACAGCAAGGATTTATGTGCAGAGTTTTTTTAACCTTAACTGGTAAAATGCGCATTGTGTAAGGGAGTGCAAAAAGGGATATGGCAATGTATTTTTCTATTGTTGAGAGGTCATAAAGAGTTCCTGTCCAGGTTTTTAAAAAGAAAAATTTTCTGTTCTGAATACTTGCTCATTTCTTGCTACTCATGGATTTTATCCTATTAATAACAGGATTATTCTAAGGGAGGGAAAATAGATCTTGCATACACTATAGTTGGAAATGGGAATGGACACATTATTAAAATAAGTTGAAATGTATAAGTCAATGCAAGGAAATTATTGGCATTTTATACTATGCTCTAAAGAGTTGTTCTGCAGTATCTGATGCCTGTTGTATCTATCCTCAAATGAGCTCCATTTTTCACTTCCAATATTGGTGCTAAGTAAGCTATTTAAATTTCTGGTAATACAGTGGTCTAGACCACAGTGTCTTTGAGAAGGCGGTTTCAGAAAAATGTTGTTCATCTCTTTCTATCAACAAGAACACTTGTGTTTTCCTTTTGGGTGTTGGTTTCATTTTAAACTTCTCAAAAATGTTTTAATTTTAAAGGCTGCTTTTTAAAATCCTGATTTAGAACCAAGTCAGGGTTTTCTCATTCAGCTCCAACATTTTATAAACAAAATGAGGATTTTGAATAGTGCATTGCTCTTCCACGTTGATACATTATTAGATGGTCCATTTATATTGATCACAATCTTTGATACTACTTTAAGCGGTACCCAATATCTGACTGTGATGTTGAGTTGAAACAGTCTTTTTTCACTGCATTTTGTCCTTTATATATAATGTATAAATAATAAATGTGTATATATATCCACTGGTCTGAGATTTTATACACAGCTATATATACTAATTCTCTCAAATCACTGAAGTTTTATAGGTAGCTGCATTTGGCTCTATTGTTAATTGGTGTATCTTAAAATGCATTTATGCAGGCTGTAAATATGTATAAATTCTGATGTTCAATTGGTGTATTTAATGTTTCGGTGTCAGTAGGGATCATGTTTCTTCCCTTTTCTAAACTAAAATATTTATTGTTAAGGCATGATTATAATGATGCTACCAAAGGAATTAACAACGTATTTCCATAGTTAGGGCCCAGACTTTCATTTGCATCAGTGAGTATGTAGCCATTGATTTGAATGGAATTTCAACTATTCTGCAGACGTATACCTATTTTTATATTAAGAGTAAACAAGACTTGCTTTGCTTGACATACATTAACTGAATAAATAGAAATTCTTTACAGTTCATAATGAGTGTTTTGTAATTTGTTTTGTGGGCGTTCAATTAAGGTTCAATTTATGTTTAGAAATAATTTGCTATCTTAAATTTGCATTTGAAAAGTTGCCCAAGATAATTGTCCAAGCTATATCACCATACGTTTCAATTTTTTTCCCTTCAGAGATTCATTCTTAAATAGCCTTGTGGTTTCAAAAACTATGGAGTCCAAATATTTTCATATTTCCATTTGCCATGCCCCACTCCCTTTTAGAGTTGCAAGATTTTAAAATATCCCTTATTACAGCGATCCCCAACCTTTTGGGCACCAGGGACCGGTTTGGTGGAAAGAGGTTTATCTGCAGACTGGAGGGGGCGTGGTTTTGCATGTTGCCTGCTTCCTGTGGATGGGGCTTCGCTTGTTTGCGTGGACTGGTTTCTGGCATGCCACAGACCGGTGCCGGTCTATGGATGGGGGTTGGGGACCCCTGCCTTATTACTTTCGTGCTGACTTGGTTTTCCAGAAAATAAAAGAGTCTCAAAGTGCAATACTTCTTTTATTATGTATCAGTGCTGCTCCGTAATCGATTTAAAGGGAACCGGTGGTGGAATTACATCCTCCCCCCCTCCAACTTCATACAAGCCCTTCATTGCTATTGCTTATTAGATTGGGGAGACATGCAGGTTGAGTGCAAGGAGGAAAGCAGAAGGATCCCAGAATTACATAGAATCATAGGGCTGGAAGCGATGTTGGAGGTCTCCTAGCCCAACCTCCCACCCCCACCAAGCCGGGAGATGTTATATTATCTAGGACAAGTAGATATCCAATCATTTTTTGAAGCACTGGGGCACCTCCAACTCTGGGAGGCCAACTCTTCCATTGATGAATTGATTGCTGTCAGGAAGTTTCTCCTTAGTTCCAGGTTGGATCTCGCTTTATCGAGTGTCCGCCCATTGCTTCTTGTCCTGCCCTTAGTTGCTTTAAAGAATAAGTTGACCCTCTCGGTGACTGTCCCTTAAATACCAGAAGGCAATTGTCATGCCACCCCTATTTGTTGGACTAGACATCCTTAATTTCCTTAACCATTCCTCATATGATTTTTCTGTTCTTCCTTGCATTTTTCCCCCCAGAGTTTCAGCATCTTTTTGGCATTGTGGTGACCTAGACTGAACACAGTGTCCCAAGCGTGGCCTCTCTAGCACCACGCTTAGTAGGTTGTGTTTTTGTAAAAGGTATTGTTAATGTAATGCCTGAATATAACCCATAATTTCTCAAAAATGTGCCAGGATATCAGGAAGTTGTTTATTTGTTTGCTTTTGTAATAAACTTATGTAGAAAACTTATGTAACTCCTCACGACACTGAATTAAATTTACTTTGAAATTGCATTTTAAGTGGTGGGAAAAAAAGGGATTCTACTACAGAAAGTTGGGATCAGTGAAATGCATTCTGAAGATTAATGCATTTAATTATTAATCTGAAGATTAATAAAACATTATTATTATGGTTACTTGTTCAAGATGAGATTTAATCATTTCTTTCCTGCAACAAATTACATTTTGAATATTTCTGTACAATATTTTTCAAGCAACCTCTGGTATTAACCGTGCAATCCTTTACTTTAGAATATCTTGTCTCCAACTTATTTGCACAGACTTGTGCAAATAAAACTTTTTCAATAAATTCTTTAGTTGTCTTTAGTTGTCTTTTATATTGTGGTAGTGCTGTGGGTAGAATGCAATACTGCAGGCTACTTCTGGCTGCCAGCAGTTCGGTCCTGACCGGGTCAAGGTTGACTCAGCCTTCCATCCTTCCAAGGTTGGTAAAATGAGGGCACAGATTGTTGGGGCAATAGTCTGACTCTGTAAACCGCTTAGAGCTGTAAAGCACTGTGAAGTGGCATATAAGCCTAAGTGCTATTGCTATTACTTCATGGTTGATCCCCAGTAACTTAAATTTGTTTGTTTCTTGGAATGGAAGCTGGCTTTTTTTCAGGCTAGCTCCAGGAGGAAATTGCCTTCTCCTATTGTTATTGCATTACATTGGACAGGTGAGAGGGACAGAGTGTCTTTTGTGGAAATCAAAATGGCGACTATGTACAATTCCAAGTCTCTGGCCAACTGCATTCGCAATTGATATTAGAAATGGGCCCTTAGCACTCCAAGGGTAGCTGATACTGATGCCAGATGACCTTTTCATTCAGTTTAGTTTTTTTTTATACATATTTGGGTATCTTCAACTGCAGGGGTTGTAAAGAAAATTATATGCTGAAACCAAATATTGCCACAAGCCTTTTCAGTTTGACACAGCATGATTTGGAACAAAGAGCAGTTATATAAACAGTCGTTGCCCTTTACAGCTAATTGCTTCTCCTGGAAAATTGTTTGAGTAGCCCCAAAACTGGAAAATATAGAACCTTGTGGTACACGATGCTAAAGGTGATGATTGAGAGAGAGTTAGTGGAAAGGCCCAAGAGATGTGCAAACTGTTTTTAAAATGGAACAGTTGTGAATTTGAAAAGAGCTGTTTTGACCTGATTGGAAGTGTTCCAATGCTCCTCCAAGCTTAAAATATCTTACTTTGCACTTAAAACACACAGTGGGGTTTAAAAGATTTCTGCTGAGGCCAGAACAGCCTGTTTTGGAGTCGGGGCTGTTCACATTTCAAATATTTTGCAATTTCTAGATAATTCCACCTTCACAAGCAAGGTTCCTTCAATTCTTGCAAACAATCACTTAGATGTCATTCTCAAATTCCAGATTTACAGCATACATAAATAGTCTCAGTCCATATGCGTGGTAATAATAGGCTATGTATGAGCCCACTGATCCAGAAAGGAGTTATAGTTCTCTTTCCAATATAATATGGTCCTTTGGCTTTGTAGATAATTATAGTAGTGGTTCAATCTCAGCAAGCTGTATATATGTGGATATCAACTCCCAATATTTTCAACAATGACTACATTGGTTGGGAATTCTAGTTTATGTCTGCATCTGAAGCCTGTCTGCTTGGAAAGACTGGGTTACATACAGAAGGCTATTTGGGACAATAATGCTGTATTTATATTGCTGATTATATTTTATTACTGTGCCCTTGTGGATAAATGCAGTCGCAGCATATTTCTCTTCTTAACTTCATACTGACATTGTGGTGTTGAGACATCAATTGCTGATATGTCTTTTCTAAAAAAAAGTAGG